GAACTACTACCGGAAGAGGAGGCACGATTTCCAAAATTCGAGACCCGGGCTACGGCAAAACACCTCGTTGAACCGATGAAAAAATTTGGATCGCTGCAAAGGACTGCAGTTAGGGCACTAGGCTTTGGAGATTTGTTGAAATTGAAGGTCGAAGACACGCCTCTGCGAATGGGGCATTGGTTGATGAAGAACTTTGACGGAAGTTCAAAGACGTTAAATCTAGGAAATGGCCGGTTGCTAAAGATAACAGAAGAGGATGTGGAGGCAGTTCTTGGATTTCCACGAGGACCCCGAGAGATTAAAAAGAGGGGCCGGAATGCGAAATGTGCCGAGCTTGATGCATGGAGAGCAGAATACGAAAAGGGGGACCACACAATAACCCCTTACATGATAGGGTTGTTGTTAAAAGAGAAAAAAGATGGTGGAATTTGGTTCAAGAGGCACTTCACAGTCCTAGTGGCAAGCGTCCTAATCTGCATCCAACAACATGGGTACGCAAATCAATCAATAATACACGAGCTCAAAGATGTGAGCAAGATAAGGGAACTGAATTGGTGCAAGTATCTCATAGACGAGCTAGTTGAATGCCACAACAAATGGGTGACAAAGCAGCACAAAAAATTTACTGGACCATTGCTATTCGTAACGGTAAGCTTAGCATTCTGTGTGTAATTAATTTTAGTATTGGCGTGTGGTTGAATGGTATCTGTGTATTGAGTATATGATTATGATAATAACAAATGTTGTCATGAGAAATGAAAATGCAGATGTTGTACGTGGACAAAGTTGTGAGCCCATGCCGATACGTCGAGCGAAACAGACCATCATTCATAGGGTGGACTGCAAAACTGTTAAACGAGCGTGAGTTTGCGGAGATTAAAAAGGGGGGGTTTGGTTTAGGAGTGCTTGAGACAAACGGAGAAGAATACGAGCAAGTGAACGATCACAACAGAGACGAAAACCAAGAAAATGAAGCCGAAGATGCAGTAAAGGTAAAAACTTATACGGTTAATTTAACAAGGAGCTATAATTGGTTAAAACCCAGATAGTTGATTGTGTTAGCACTTACAATCTGGACCCCGTAATGGCAGGCCATGGAGGTACGATTTGTAGATGATGCAAACCAGGTTATAACTAAAGTGCAAGAACTCACTAAACTTGCGGATGAAGCTGGAAAGTGCACACTGAGTCCTACAACGTTCGAGAAGTTAGTGGAGGCGGGAAAGTTGCTGTTAAGAGTAGGACAATGATATGTGGCAGCGAGAGAAAAATGCAAGCACAAACAAGCACACTCCGAAACACAAGGTGCCGGTGAGGCAGTGAGCAGTGCATCAAAAAGTACCGGTGAGGATGGTGGCGAAGCTGATTTAGGCGACACGGAGACAGAAGTACAAAATGAGATAAACATGCATATGGGAGACACCGAGGCAGCATATGAAATGCCATCATTCAGTCTAGGCTTAACCCAGGAGATGCACACTGTACCGGTGGTGAGTGAACCAAATCAGGACCCCGTGATTGAAGATGATGCTGTAAGTTAAAAAAGGAATGTTCATAAATAGGACAACTGTAAAATGCACCACAAATATATTATTTTGAACAATATCAGAATGGCAGTGTGATTTTAATGTTCAAAAACGCAGTGTGAGGAAGCGATGCAGAAGGAAGATGAAGGAAGAGAAACCAGGAACGCATCAAAAGACGGCAATGATAAGCACCCCACGCCAAACCAACCAGAAGACTCATTCGTCACACCTCCGGAGGTATGTCGCGTGCTAAATCGATATAAGCTTCGTTATGGAAAATAATTTAAACTAAAATAATGTGCATGATATTGGGAAACAAAATGCCAATGTTGCGTGATTTAAAAATAGTTAAAGGTTTGGGAAGTGGATTTGTGAAATATGTGAAAATGAGTTTGAACTAAAAAGTTGATAATTGTGCATCTGTGAAATGTTTGGGTAGTTAGACTGTGAAGTGTTTGGGGACTGATTGTGCAGCATTGTGGTAAACTGCATTGCAATGTTACCATATAAGACAGATGTACATGGTATGGCTATTAGACGTCTAAAAGTTAGCTACATTTGTGAAAATAAATAAACTAGTCTCGAAAAGTTTAATCACACAGTGGGCAAATAATGCCCAAAAACACGGGAGCAATATTAATTTTAAAACACACATTTTGCAGCAACTGATTAACCCGAAAGGAAAGGACAGAGGAGACCAAGGAGGGGCCATAGAAAGGGCACCAATGAAAGTGCAACGTCATGAAGGTAAGACGACCAACTTACCACAAAACCAAGGCACACCGTCAGAGCATGATCGCATAGCACGAAGAGAGCTCACAAAATGTTACTCCCCCACCCCAAGTGAGATGAAGAAGTGGATACTCGAGAATGCAAATGCTGACAAGTAAGAAAGATCACATTACAATTCAGTACCTAATGAAAAATAATATTACTAATCACCTGATTTGCAACCACCCAGGGACGAGGAACTCTTCCACTTCAACACCCAACGAGCATTAAGATCTGACCTGCTGACACTAGACACGGGCAACGGAGTGAACGCGATAGTTATAGACAGCTGGGCATGCGTACTAAATGACAAAGAACGGGCAAAAAAAATCATTGATCCAGCACGATTCTTTGCATCAACCAAACTAACGGTATGCAAATTCTATTTTATTAAAAAAAAACAGGAATACTTGAAAAACTCCAATAATATGAAGACTGTATTTGACTAAATATGACCATGTATGCATGCACAGATGGAAACAGTGGTGGGATGGACAGGGACACGAGCACAACAGCTCAAACTTTTTAAAAGGAAAATGAAAAGCGAGATGACTTTCAGCCCATACAAGAAGTGGACAGAGATTGACATGGTAAGTTAACATACGACTTAAGAGACTAAGAAGTAACAATGTATGTGTTCATGTTTTAAAAATGTTCTTGCTAACCAAATCGAATTCAATGCGCAATGCAGTTCATATTCCCGATATGTAACAATTCTCACTACTATGTCATCGCCGCCGATCTAAAGGGAAGGACAATGCAAATCATTGACAACTCTTCTGCAGGGAAAAAAGAGGAAGTGTATGGGAAAATCCCGGACATTTTGGTAAGAACTTCTAATCATACGCGTGTAGAATATAGATATAAATGTGCATCTGTTACTGCTGTAAGCATAGGAACTGTGCAACTGTTACGAGGCAAGAGCTTCTATTCATAGGAACTGTGCATCTGTTACTGCTCTTTATGTGCAATATAGATATAAATGTGTTGCTAACCGGTGATATGATAAAAGTTACTAACAGTGTCTATGTATGAAACCAGAAGGACATGCTCGGGTGCTTCCTAGACGATAACAAAGACCATAAAAGGGCGGCTGAAATACTGGAAATGGAACCAAAGAGAATGCAAATGCCTTGGAGGGATGCAACAGAAAGCCCAAACAGTGGAGTATATACAATGAGGCACATGGAATCCTTCATAGGGCAGAAAGCGAAGAGTTGGGAATGTGGGCTGACCAAGGGAGACAAAGCCAAAATAGAAGAATACCGAGCGAAGTACATGAAGAAAATCCTGCTCAGCGAATGCAATGAGCAACACAACAAAAGCCTCCAAAGCTCACCACTGTACGGCAAGGGAGTGTTCACGCAATTTCGCTAAGCAAGTAAAATGTGTGATTGTGCTATTTTTTTGACGACTTTAAAACCCATGACTAAGGACACCAATGAAAGGTTTAACACTTGTAGTATTTTTTTGGCAAGGGACAACTTTTTTTGGGTAAAGTTGTGCGAAATGTAGATGCATTGGTTTTTATGTAACAAGGTATTCTGCTATAAATGCACACTTATTAATTCGTGCTTCAGTGGATTACACCTTTGTGCAATTACATTATATCCGAATGTACGGGTGTGTGCATCGGAGGTTACTAAAGTACTGCACTGCACAATGGCAACAAAAAATAACCCCGTAGACCGCTACAAACATAAAGACACGTGAAGGTAGTGTGCACCCACGTAGAAAAAGAAAATGAACAACGGTAGGGGTGATAGGCACAAGTGTAATAAACCAACTTAAGTTTAAAGTTGTATTGAAATGCATGTTGGCATGACCACCCTTAGTCACAATGATCGGTTAAAGCGAGGGAACCGAACGTGCAAGACAGAGCACAAACCCAGATTTAATGTCAAAGTCCCAATCCTAGACTGTGCGATAGTGTTACGTTAACAAATCGGGTAATAAAAAAAAACACAAAGGGGTATAGTGCAGATGAAATACTGTGCAACATTGATGGGAGCATATGTGCAACTGTGCATAACATTCCAGTGACCGCGTGCAACCACAATGACCGGAACTGTGCAAGTGGGATGTGGCATCATAATGTGGGGAAAAAGAATGAAATAATACCACCGTAAGTCAAAAACAAATAACCCGTAGTCCATTAAATAGATTTTGACACGTTAATATGATGTACACCCACACAGAAACACAACATGCATCACAGTAGGGGGACGTCTTAGCGCTGGTAAGAAGTCAACTTAACATTGTAGTGTTAATAACATGCATGTCGGCATGACACCCCCGAGTTGAAATAATAGGGTACATCGAAGGCGGGTGCAAGACAAGACGCGAAACCGAACTACAAAGGCAAATAAATTGTTGTGCAACCTCAAAGGAAAGATATGTGCAAACATGCATAAATTTCCAGTTACTTTGTGCATCCACAGAATACTATACTGTGCAAGATGGAAGTGGTTACTGAATAAATGAAAACGGAATAAAAGAGTACCACGACCATCCTATCTAAAAAAGGGGAAATATAAAATTAATAAACAGAATAGAAACACAAATCCAATAAAAAAAACCACACCAAATCCATTATTGAAACCCAAATCAAATGCGAAATAAACACAAGTCAGTGACGAAGTAAAAAACAAAGCAACATGTTTAAATTCAAATTTAAACCAAAGAGCAATACGACCCCCTTCATCAAACGTCAACGTTGCGCATCGGGCAGGTACGACTATTATGCCCATACTTTTCACAAGTTTGACATTGGCGTTGTCGACGCCCCGACTTTTCAATAGCTAATTCCCTTGTACTTTTGTAACGTTTGCCACCACCCTTGTTATTAGAGATTGGAGGAGGACGAACATTAACCTGACCATCTGGCGAAGCACCGCAAAACGACTCAAAAAGTTGCTTCTTAGAAGAAGAAGCACGAACGGTAGGACCATTCTCAGCCAATAAAAAAGCATTGAAATCTTTTAGGGCTGCATTCAACTTGGTAACATGCTCAACACTCCGTGAAGCCATGGTCACGCACGAAAAAAATTCTGCCCAAGCTTCACCAATTGCGACATCTACCTCCGAATCGCCACCACGTTGAACACCCAACACCTGTCGCACACAAGCCCCCCTTGTCCAACGTGCGATCACATACCGAGAAGGGATAGAAACAACCCTACGATCCTTGAAAACCCAGAAAATATGACGACAAAGTAACCCAACCCGTGAAAACATGTTACACGTACACTCAACACCATCATTACCAGAGTCAAAACTCACGGTGCGTACCGGGCCATCATCATCTTCAACCTCATACCGGGTTACCAGCCCTTCAACATTTGAACGCACAGCACGACACGAAAAAGATCCCGCGATAACCTCGGCTTGCACATCATAAAAAACATTAATAGTGTACACCGCAGCCGCATGCTTCTCAATCAACATCGGAGTCTGGCACAAAGGAAAATGACCCTCACACTCGGCATTTAGTTTGGTCTGCGCCAAACATTGAGCATCAATAGCCCCTTCAAAATTGTTGAACAACTCAGACAAACTAGCATGCTGGTTTGTGCAACTACCAAACACACTATTCGCAGCTTCGGACCTCGATGTCGTGCGAAGCAATCAACCCATGAAAATATCATTAAAATACGCAGGGATCCAATACGATCTCAGATCATACATAAGACGAAACCATCGGTGGTCAACAAGGCTATACTTTTTCATAACGTCCTGCCAACCCCGCTCAAACTCCTCCACAGACGACGTCTCACACCAAACAACATCATTCAACGCGCGCCGAAACTCTTCATCTTTAGATAGAACATTACCAACCTTCTCGCCAACCTTTGACATAATATGCCACATACAAAACCTGTGCCGCGTAGTATCAAACACCTGAGGGACTGCAACCCGCATCGAAGGATCTTGATCAGTGATAGTGCAACTAGGCACACAACCCATTGCACTTTTAAATTGCTGGAGAAGCCACACGTAAGAGTCCACATCTTCACGGGAAATCAACCCCATTGCAAATGTGACACATCTCTTGTGATTATCAACACCAGTAAACGGGACCAACACCATACCATACCTGCAATACATAACACCAAACCAACGAAAAAAAAAAAACCCATGGTTTTTAGCAAACTGCTTGCACAAATACATAACAATAAACTGCACATACCAGTAATAGAAAAAAAAAAAAAACAACAAGAAAGTTTTTTTTTAAGAACACGTGGCTTACCTATTAGTCCCATAAGTTGCATCAAACGACACCACCTCTCCAAAAGCTGAAAAATTTTCCTTCGCAATAGGGTCAGTCCAAAAAGCCCTACATAACTGATCCTGAGAATCAACATCATATCTAAAGACATAATCCGGGCAATCATCTACCTTCTTAGCATATTTTTTCACAACAATATGAGCATCTGACGTTCCAATAAATGCCATTAAATCACGCTTCAAATTTTTAAAATCGACACATGTCGCACCAACATTTGAATACGACCCAGCAAACTCCCTAGCCAAACGAAACGACCTATTTGGCCCAACGTTGGCCCTAGCACACTTAAGCACAAAAATCTGATGTTGCACATCCATGGAACGATTACCCCGCAAGAAAGGCTTAGCCACATCCGAGCACAAACAATGATTATGCCGTAGCTCAATAAAATGAACCACAAAAACCCCATCGTCACCCATCTTCAACACCAACCTCGCTCTGCACCCCACCCTATTTGAAACACGCCGGCGCTTCGGAGCCACAGGTGCTTGATCCAACGCAGCATCCACAACAACAGAGCCCTGCACCGCCTGCTTGAACCCCTCACGCGAACAAACCAACAAGTCTTTCACAGCAACACCCTGCCTATTCCTACGCAACGAACTTCAACGTACATCAAAACCAACGAGCGACGCATACTGACGATAAAAATCAATACCGTGAGCGAGAGAAGGAAAAGTCTGCCCCTGAAAAGGCCTAACCGCCGCATCACACGAAGGCGTCCAAAACTTAGTCCCATCGGGGGACACGTCCATAACACACCCGTGCTGCGATTCCGACCGTGCTGCACAAACATCAAACAGAAATATACACACAAACACAAAACCGGTCAAAATAAAACGGCATATGCATATCATTCCAAAAAAAAAAAAAAAACAAGCTGCTTGCACATATCAACTAACACAAAATGCACTTTACGAAGAAAACCCCTACCCCCTACAAACCAAAACCCTTCAAAACCAATATAAAATGCAAATGCCATGTACACCGGAATGCACAGAACTAACAACATAATATACTAACAGCGAACCAAATCCAGAAACACACAAGCAATGTTGTCATCCCACCACCGAAATCCATAAATTAGCAGACAATCTATAACGAAATGCAACAACCATTTACACCGAAAAACACAAACTACCACGACAACATCCTACAATCGAACACAAACCCAGCACACATAAGCCATAATGTCATACAAATACCGAAAAGCATAATTTACCAAAACAAATTAAAACGAAAAACATAAGGCAATTGCAGTTATTAAAAAATGAAAATAACAAATACAACTACGACATAAAACCAGACCAACTACCCAATCAATAATCCAAGACCCCAGACTTATATATAAAAATTAAAACTAGATAACCAACATCAAACCACGGCACCTAGAACGCATGTCATACAAATAGACACATACTTATACACAAACCAACCACTACCCGATGCTCAGAAAAAATATACAAGAAACAAACGGAAAAACTAACCTGGAGAATCCATACGCCTTCACGCAGAGAAAGACAAAAAAATTGAAAAACTATGAAACGATGAAAGGAAAAATCACAAGCACTACAAACTGTATAAAGTGGATTACTACATCAGAATATAAACGCTAAAAATCTTTATTTACCATGTATAACACTCCTAAAAATGAGAAACTCACCCGACAAAGACACCAAATAAATAGGAAAGAAAAATACAAATACAAAAATGTCCTTACACACTCACGCGGAAACAGAAAAAAAAATGACAAAATAAAAACCCAAATCAACAACAACGATAGATCACCACATAATCAACGGCCAGATTTTGACCTTAGACCTCATGTGGGAACATGACCTCATATGATCCTCTATATATATATATATATATATATATATATATATATATATATATATATATATATATATATAATATGTACTAAAATCCCAAATAGGCGCATACATAACCACGAGAGTGCTTCCTTACACATACAAAATAGTCAAATGGATTATGGACTTATGGTATTGTTTTTGTATGTGTTTGATATGAATTTATTATGATATGTATTTTATTAGGCCCCGCCTAGGCGCTAGGCGCTACTCTACCGCCCGACTAGCGCCTATTATATATATATATATATATATATATATATATATATATATATATATTATATATAAGATAATATATATACCACCCGACTTATTATGATATGTATTTTATTAGGCCCCGCCTAGGCGCTAGGCGCTACTCTACCGCCCGACTAGCGCCTAGCGCCTATTATATATATATATATTAGTACATATTATATATAAGATGTACTAAAATCCCAAATAGTCAAATGGATTATGGACTTATGGTATTATTTTTGTATGTGTTTGATATGAATTTATTATGATATGTATTTTATTTTAATTGAATTTATTATTTTAGGAGTTATTTTTAGGATTTTCAATTTTAGGGTTAAAAATTTCGGTTAATCGGTAAACCGAAAAAAAGTTCAGTTAATTCGGTAGAGCAAACTTCGGTTCGGTTAAGGCAAAAATAATTTCGATTAATTCGGTTCGGTTAAAACCGGTTAACCGAATGAACACCCCTAGTGCTCACTTCTCCAGGGACGGAGCCAGAAATTCGGTTGAGGGGGGGCGAAACAGTACAGACCGATTCAGAAATTTTTTTTCTAGAAAAGGCGAAACATTAAAACAAAAGAGATAATTTAAAAATAAATAAATAAACTACCTAAGAAATATAATTGTAAATATTGTTGGATATGGACGAAAAATAAAACACATCGAAACTTTATAAAAATATTCATAACAAAATATGAAACATAATTAATAAAATAATTTGAATAGAAAACACATTATAAATTACACATCTTATTATAGAGTGTGTGTAATATTAAAAAAGCTATTAAAAAAGAATTGTAAAACTATGTTGATGTTAAGATTAGAACCCTTAACCTCATTATTACCAAAGTTGAGCTCTACCATCTACTCTAACTCACTTTTTGTTAATATTTTATAATTTTTTTATACTAATACTAAAACATGTACTATATATACATATATACATACAAATACTATGTATGGGGTGGGGGTGGAGTGAGTGGGGGCAGCCGCCCCCCTGCCCCCCTCTCCCTCCGTCCCTGCACTTCTCGTTCCTAAGCTATAATTGACGTTGTAAATTTCGTTCTATTTCTAACAAAACATTAAGAATGAAATTTACAACATAAATTATAACTTCGGGATGAGAAATGAGCATGACCTATTAAAAAAAGATAAAAAAGAAATTACAACGTCAATTATAACTTAAAGACGAGAATTGAGCACAACCAATAATTGAGGGTGTCGTTGTAGTAACGTAACAACCAATAATTGAGGGTGTCGTTGTAGTAACGTAACATACATTGACATCATGTTTGCGCATGCATGACGGCAGTAATGCATGCATATATGTTTATCGATCGGTAGGTGTGTGGGGAATCTCATGGGAGAAGAATGACAAAATGCTAGCTAGTTAACAGCTTATTCAATTCGCACATTAATTAATTAGGTTTATGGTTTTTCTTTCAATGCTGAGAATAGATATATGTTCATTAATGATAGCAAGAGGAGCCCGCAGGACTAAAAAATAAATGGGGACAACTTTAATTTGTGCTTAATTCTCACTACGGGTGGGCACTTCGGTTCGATTTATCCGAATCGAAAACTGAACCAAACCAAACCGATTCGATCCGAACCGAATTAGTAATAGAAAATCGAATGATTCGGGATTTTGTAACCCGAATGGTTTAGTACCGAACCAAACGCTATATAATTTTTTTAATAAATAATAATAATAATAATAATAATAATAATAATAATAATAATAATAATAATAATAATAATAATAATAATAATAATAATAATAAAAGAAGTAAATCCAAGTTCCTTGATGCTTGCTCCGCCGTTCAGTTCTCATTCTTACTGGTACCGAACCTTGAATTTTTTATTTGATTTCTTTATAGCTTGTTTTCTACATTGCACTTTTGTTGTTTGTCGCAATTGTTCTTTACCTCACAATTATATCTAACTTAAGTTATATTTACAATATTCAGTATTTTCCTTAGTTTCATGTTTTTCTATAAATTTAATGTGCTTTACAGTCATTCTAATTTTGATTTCAAGTGCATTATAATTATTTTACCTCACAATTATATCTAACTTGAGTTATATTTACAATATTCAGTATTTTTCTTAGTTTCATGTTTTTCTATAAATTTAATGTGCTTTACAGTCATTCTAATTTTGATTTCCAGTGCATTATAATTATTTTCTAGTACTGGAATATATTTCGAGTGCACCAGGAATGACAGATTGTGTCCAAAAATTAACTATATAGTAATTAACACTTGTTCTTTTAATATCAACTATATAGATAGATGATTATTCATCATATCAATAAAAATATTCCAACTGAATATTTTTATTTGATGTTTCATGTTTGTACTCTTTAAACATTGGATTTGAAGTTTGAACTACGTGATTCATGTTTGTAATGTTTTTTTTTTTTTTGAAAAAAGGTTCATCTTATTTATAAACAAAACGGGAACCGAACAGAGTCTTGTCAAGGCCCAAAAGTGACCAAGGCACAAGAAAAGAAAGGACAAGGCCCAAAAGTGACCAAGTCAACAAATAAAACAAGAAGGACAAAGCCCAAAAGTGGCCAAGTCTACAAATAAAGCAAGAAGGCCTAAAGGCAAACAAGTAAAGGAGAAACTCTAAACTACAAAGTGGGCCCAACACCCATACTGCAAACAACCTGGTACTGAGTGAAAGCTAGACAATTCCCGGGCGTCATGCCCTACACTAATGTTTGAACTTTGAACTTTGGATTCTAATTTCTAAGTATGTGATGTTTTGGTAATCAGATTGCTATTAGTATGTGATGTTAGTATTTACTATTTAGTAGTATGTTTAAACTTTGAATTATTATTTTGTTATATAACGTTTATATTTTAGATGTGGATTATGTGAATAGGTATTGTTTGGTAGTATGTTTGGAAAATTATGAAATGTTGAAATTTGATGATAGTAATTCTTGTAAAGTCTTAAACCGAACCGAATTAAATCCGAACCGAAACCAAACCGATTGAAACCGAACCGAACTATAATGTTAAACCGAATGGTTCAACTTTTCTAAAACCGAAAAACCGAAACCGAAACCGAAACAAAAAAAAACCGAACCGAAGACCGAAGTGCCCAGCCCTAATTCTCACATCATACATCTAACGAACATATCCCTTTGTGATTAATTAACAAAAAAAGAAAAGTACATACTAAGTAAATTAAAATAATAGGGCAGCTTCCAAACATTATCTACTATATATATATATATATACACTAATAAGAGCCCAAGAGAGTTAGGCCTATAATGGGTAGAAAAAATGGCGGTTAAATTTTTTAATCAAATGAATGGCTCAGATTGATCAAATTTTAATTTTTCCTTAAGATTTCCTAATTTACCCTTAATGAATATGATTATCCGTTAACTTTTCCGTTAACTTCTGTTAGTTCACCGTTAACTTACTCATTGATTTCAATAAGAAAAGTGTTAGGTTCGAACCTCATCCCAATCAAAGTTGGCATAATTAGTACTCTATTTTACTCTTATTAAATTAAAATAATAATTTAGTAGCTACAACAATAAATAATACATATGCATTTCTTTAATTTAGAATTATGTGTCTACAATGTCTTTATTCAAAAAAAAAATTATTCATTATCAATAAATTAAATAAGAGAAATAATTTCATTAGTTATATTGTATTTATTTTTCTCCAATAGAAAAATTCTTTACATACAAATTCATTAATTGATTATATTCGCTACATTGTCCCTACAATGTATTTATTAAAAAAAATTTATTCATTATCAATAAATTAATTAAGAGAAATAATTTATTTTCAAAAAAAAAAAATTAAGAGAAATAATTTTATTAGTTATATTGTCTTTATATTTCTCCAATGAAAAAATTCTTTACATTCAAATTCATCAATTGATTATATTCACTACATTGTCTATTTTTTTGTGCACTATTTTTTAATTAAATATCAAAGTTATAATACAAAATAATGCTATATATTTGTTTACCAAGTATTTTATTAATACCATGAAAAAAATAAAAAAAAATATAATTAATAAAACCAATCATATTAACTACTTGAGAGATTTGTTGACAAAGAGAGTATTCAAATCACACAAAAAATTGAAGTGTGAACTACCTCGCAATATCCTTGTTTCACAATCCGCAGTTAGCGGTTAGCGGATTATATTAGCGAATTTGACCAGCGAATTATATCAACGATTGGGTAAAAAGATATTTGAAAAAATTAGCTGTTTAGATTAACATGTAAAATGATATAACGGTATACATATATTTAATAATAATAATAATAATAATAATAATAATAATAATAATAATAATAATAATAGTAATAATAAAAAAATAATAATAATAATAGTTTAAAAAAATTAAAAAATAAAAAATATAATTAAGCCAATCATATTAACTACTTGGGGATTTATTGACAAAAAGAGTATTCAAATCACACAACAAATTGAAGTGAGAAACTATCTCGCAATATCCTTGTTTGACAATAAACAATTAGCTCTTCAATATTAGTATATATTTAATATTTTCTGTCCTAATATTTATTTGCTCTCCCTTATGTCCTGTATTTGGTTTCAACCATACTTATACAATTATTTTATTGACAATTATAATCAATCTTGACTATATTATCTTGCATTTGTAAACTTAGAATTGCCTATTTAAATACGCAAATTTAACATTTAATTATCTATGCATTAACAATTCAAATATAATCTTGTCTTGATATACTTTAAATTACTTGTTAAAAAAAAAACATTGGGCATTATTCCAATCGCGCAATGCGTGTAAAAAAAACTAGTATTAGATACCAGACATAATAGCACGGCCAGAACTAGCAAATTTAATTTCCATTCACTTTGATACCAGCTAGCAGGATGCATCACACCACATGTCGACATGGTACTTAGCATATTTACATATTTTGACTTTGTATTAATACAAACAAATTATGCCATTTAAAAGATCTTAATTTTTTTTTTTTTTTTTTGAATTTTACTGACTCTATTACATTGTAGTATCTGTTCAAACATATTTTCTCAACTTAATGAAGCACACAGAGATCTCTTTGTAGACTCGGTCTCATGACCTCCCATATGGAAGAGGTTACTACATACCATTTGAGTAAAGGTGATGGGCTTAAAAGATCTTATTAAGATGATTAAAAGAAGACTAATATTGAATCTAGAATGAATTAAAAGTTAAGGTACAATATCTCCAAAAAAAACTTAAAAGTACAATAAAACATAACTTCAAAGTATTTAATAACCTCCAAGGTCACCTCCATTTTCCATATTATCAAAATATTGATTAAATTGAGTACTTGATTCAACGTACTCCTCCACATATGATCGTTCGTTAGTTCAATTTGCAGCAATTCTTAGTAGATCATTTCTAATAGACTCACATACAGTTGGGTTATTGATGGAGTCTAAATCTATGCGTAAGAATTTGTTTTCTTCTCGTCACTCTACCAACTCTATTTTCTTTGTTATAGTTTAAGCTTTTAACAACCAAAACTAATAATTTGTTGAATTGTCAATGTCATTGTAGGTCATAACAACTACTTTGTGTAACAAAGAGATAGAATTAGAAGAATAGATGTGTCTACTTTACAAAAAGTAACACCCACATTTTGAATTTTGGCTTATGGTGGAAACAGATGCAATAGATGAACACATTCAAATTAGAGAATCAACTGCAATTGAGTGTTTAAAAAGTTTTGTTGGGCAATTATATTGTAGAGATCTTTAGGCAGTGCTATCTAGAGTATTAGATGCAAATAATGTTTTAAGGTTGCTTCAAATTAACTGAGATGTGATTTTTCAGAGATGCTTGGGAATTTAGATTGTATGCATTGGACTTGAAAAAATTGTCCAATAGCTTGGGCAGAACAATATTCTAGGCATAGTCGAGAACCAACTATTATTCTTGAAGTTGTAGCTGATTATGATTTGTGAATTTGGCATGCACATTTTGGTTTACTCGGGTCGAATAATGACATTGATGTGTTGGAGGCATCTCATGTGTAGTGTATGATTAAATTAACATTTAATGTAGAATTTAGTGTAAGAATATACTTGGAATATACCTTTTGGTGTAAAATTTAGTGTAAATGTGTTAGAGATTTAAAAAAAAAAAAAATCGGTGTAAACATATACTAAAAATATTAGATTTTGTGTAAATTTTGGTGTTTTAGAATGAAAATTATATTGTCTAAATTTCACCCACTTTGGTCGTCAGAAATTTGTTTGAAACTGCGTACTTACCACAGTTTACAATCACATATATGCGACCACATATTTGCATCCTTAGAAAATTATTAAAAATCACCAAGACAGCAATATTTTACATTAAAACAATCAGGAAGAGAATGGCCATAGATAAAGTCAAAAATATAAATAGCAAGTTTATATTGTCATTATAATGTGGTAAAAAATTGTCATAAAAACGTTAATTCCATAATTTTCATCACATCAATAATGTAATTATAGTCGTCAACCATAATTACTACTAAGAGTTAATACCCAAAATCGTCCTCGACTATAGTGGTTTTTCTCAATTTCGTCCTAAACGACTTTGGTGACCTGATATCATCCCAGACTTTTGTGTTTCGCTCAATTTAGTCCTCCATTTGTTATTCCGTCAAATTGGTGTTAAATAAAGGGACAATTCAGTAATGTCAATATTGATCTCTCTTTACTTTCAACTTGTGGAGTGCGAAATTCCTCTTTCTTGTAAGAATTACACCCAGAATTACTCCCGGACCTGCAAATCAAATTTTATATTCGCAGTTTTAGGAGTAATTCTGGGAGTAATTCGTAAAAAAAAAAGGATTTCGCAGTTCACATGTCTATGAGTAAAGAGATGCCAATATTAAAATTACGGAATTGTCTATTTATTTAACACCAAATGGACAGAATAACAAATGAGGGACTAAATTGAGCAAAAACACAAAAGTCTGGGACTAAATTGAGCGAAACACAAAAGTCTAGGACGAAATTAGGTCACCAAAGTCGTTTAGGACGAAATTGAGAAAAACCACTATAGTCGAGGACGATTTTGGGTATTAACTCTTACTACTAATGCAGAAGATAAAGTGTTAGAAAATAATATATTTCGTGCGTGCCTCAAATCCACTACAGTCCACGCCCCATGCAGCATTGAGGAGTTTCTTACACGTTCGCCGCAACTGCCGCATCACTCCCATCTTCATGCGTTATTTCTTGCATTTCATGTGCTTTTCTCTCCCTTTGCTTTAGAATAAATAGTTTTGATGTTTTGCTTTGTATTCACACATCAATTCATTGAATTCTTCGTTCTTTGTCTTCTTTCACGTAGACATACATATATATCTGTTTTCCTTATTCTCTTTTTAGAGATTAACATATATATATTTTAGGGAAAATCAACGATTTGGTCCCTCAATTGTTAGCGAAATATCAATGTAGTCCCTTAATCGCGTAATCATCGATTTAGTCCCTGGAAATAACTGTTTTTAGTTGATTTAGTCCCTCCGACCGTAGTCCGTCCAAAACCCGGCGATAGCTCCGATTTGCCATGGGTAATTTTGTCATTTCGCTTCTTTAGTCTTCTTCTTACCAGTGCTGGTGAAGTTAAGTGTCGCAGCTGAAGTGTCACAACTGAAGTTAACGCAGCATTGGAGCAAAATCCACCAAAATTCACCAAATCCTTCTGGCCGATCCTCCAAGGCGCGTGGCGGCAGGTGCGCGCGCTGAGATTCTCGCGGTCTAGTCCTCTCGTGGGCATGTTCAATGATGGCGGTTCGGAGCTTCCGAGGTTCATCGTCGTCGGCAGGGTGAAATTCGTCGGCAGCCTGGTGGACATCGAAAACTGTCTTGCAGTTGAAATCTACAATTCGTGCTCAGATTCATGGGAGCTCTGTCCGCCATTTCCGCCGGAGTTCAACACGCGGAATTCATCCCAATCCCTATGCTCAGCTTTCTTCAACCAAAAATTCTTCGTCTTAGGGATCCATTCCTGTTTCATCTCATCCTTTAACCTCAAAACCCGCCAATGGAGCGGCGTCCAAATGCTCCGGCCATCGGGGACGCAGTCCGGCTTCCTGATTTCATCCAACGACCGCCTGATCCTGGCAGCTCTCTTCAACTAAAAAGTCTTCGTCTTAGGGATCGATTCCTGTTTCATCTCATCCTTTAACCTCAAAACCCGCCGATGGAGCGACGTCCAAACTCTCTGGCCGCCGGGGGCGCAGTCCGGCTTCCTGATTTCATCCAACAACCGCCTGATCTTGGTAGGGCTCTGCAACTCCCCCGCTGCCAGCGCCACGCCGTCCTCTAACCTCTGGAAGATCGACGAGGAAACCATGGAGTTCAGCGAGATGGCGCCTCGGAGGATTGACCGGAAGGATTTGGTGGATTTTGCGTTAACTTCAGCTGCGACACTTAACCAAAACATCGGCACTAGTAAGAAGAAGACTAAAGAAGCAAAATGACAAAATTACCCATGGTAAATCGGAGCTATCGCCGGGTTTTGGACGGACTACGGTCGGAGGGACTAAATCAACTAAAAACAGTTATTTCCAGGGACTAAATTGATGATTACGCGATTAAGGGACTACATTGATATTTCGCTAACAATTGAGGGACCAAATCGTTGATTTTCCCTATATTTTATATTTTCCTATTCTTAGTAATTATTTTGTCATTTATATAATTTTCTTCATTTACATATTTTTCCTATTATTTAACTTTTATAATTCTCAATTTTCGATTATTCGCTTCCGCATTATTCCGCTATATTCCTAACAAATGGTATCAGAGCGGTTTAATTGAGAATTATTTTCAAAGATGTCGACTGTTACTAAGTTCGATATCGAGAAGTTCGACGGGAAAATTAGCTTCTCTATCTGGAAGGTTCAGATGGAAGTTGTTCTAAAGAGGGAGAAAGCGCTAGCTACGAAGAAGAAGAAACCGGCTACAATGATAGATGAAGATTAGGAAGATTTGGATGGCAAGGCACGTTCAACCATTCTTTTGTGCCTGTCTAAAGAGGTTCTATGTGAGGTAGTAAGTGAGACGACTGCGTCAAATTTATGGTCCAAGCTGGATTCGCTTTACATGACCAAATCTCAAGCGAACACGCTACGCCTGAAGGAGCGTCTGTACACAATCCGTATGACGGAAGGTACTTCTATTAAATCTCACTTGGATGAATTCAATTCTATTTTATTGGGCTTGGAGAATATTGATGTCATAATTGAAGATGAGGATCATGTTGTTTTATTGCTTGTCTCTCTCCCTAAATCATACAAGCATTTCAAAGAAATTATGCTGTATGGTAATAGTAGTGATATCCTTACTTTCGACATTGTTAAGTCAAACCTATTGTCCAAAGAAAAGGTTGACTTTGAAATTAAGTCTGAGGACAAAGGTGAAGGCTTGACCGTAAGGGGTCCTTCACTTGAAAGCAAGAGTAGCAATAAGAAATCTAGATCCAAGTCCAAAGGACGTAATTCCAACAAATCACGTAAGTACTGCAAGAAGCATGGTCACGATGTGACTGAATGCTTCAAGCAGAAAAACAAGCAAGAGAGCGAAAAGAAGTCTGATGAAGCTAGTGTTGTTGAAAGTGATTCTGAAGGCGATGTTATGTTATTTGTTAGCTCCGATTGCAAACGGAGCGAAACCGAGTGGATTCTAGACTCTGGTTGTACATTCCACATGTGTCCTCACAAAGACTGGTTCGTCTATCTAGAACCGGTTGATGGTGAAGTTGTCTTGTTGGGTAATGATACCCAATGCAAGGTTAGTGGAATTGGAAGTGTGCAGATTAAAACTCATGATAACATTGTCAGGACTCTTACCAATGTTCGGTATATTCCTGATTTGAAACACAATCTGATATACTTAGGCACCTTGAAATCTCTGGGGTGTAAGTACATAGCTGAAGGTGGAGTTCTGAAGGTCATAAAAGGCTCTCTTGTTCTCATGAAAGCTTCTTGTTCTGGAAGCTTGTACGTCTTGCATGGTAGTACTGTGACAGTTTCAGTAGCGGTATCCTCATCGATGTCTGATGCGGATCTCACTCAATTATGGCATATTGCGTTTGGGGCATATGAGTGAGAAAGGCATGCATCTCCTGAGCAAGAAATGCCTCCTTGGTGGTTTAGGTACGGGTAAATTACAATTTTGTGAGCATTGTGGTTTTGGGAAACAAAAGAGGGTTAGTTTCTCTACTGCTACACACCGTACCAAATATGTATTAGAATATATACATTCTGATTTATGGGGACCGACTAAATTCCAGTCTATGGGAGGTTGTAGATATTTTATGTCTATTATTGATAACTTTTCTCGTAAAGTCTGGGTCTATTTCTTGAAACACAAAAATAAAGCATTTTCTATTTTCAAAAAGTGGAAAATACTTGTTGAGACTCAGATAGGGAAAAAAGTCAAGAAGCTCAGGACAGACAATGACTTGGAGTTCGGTGAGTCAGATTTCAATGACTTCTGTGCGGCAAATGGAATCGACAGGCACAAGAACTTGCCTGGTAAACCCCAGCAGAATGGTGTTGCCGAACGTTTGAACAGGACTCTGTTGGAGAGAGCTCGTTGTATGCTCTCTAATGTTGGGTTATGGAAACAAAATGTTTTTTGGGCCGAGGCCGTTTCTACTGCTTGCTATTTGGTAAATAGATCTCCACATTCATCCCTTGATTTCAAAATTCCAGAGGAATTTTGGTCAGGTAATCCTATTGATTTCTCTATGTTAAGAGTTTTTGGAGATCCTGCATATGCTTATTCCAATACGGGTAAATTAAACCCTCGAGCTGTTAAATGTATTTTCTTTGGTTATGCTTCTGAGTCAAAAGGGTATCGCCTATGGTCTCTTGATTCTAAGAAAATTATTCTGAGTCGAGATATCACTTTTGACGAAAATGCACTGCTTTCTTCTGAAAAAGTTCTCAGTATAGGTGAGACACATAGTACTGGTGAGAAGGTGGAGTTTGAGTTCAGGCCTATTGATAGTATTACTACCACTGATGGTAATACTAAAGATGATGCATCTACTAGCACCGTACCTCTCGTCGAGCCACAACGAGAGTATTCCATTGCTATGGATCGTCCTAGGAGGACAATTAAAAAACCTGCTAGGTATGCTGGTGATGATGAAACCAACTTGGTTGCTTATGTTCTTTCAGTCACACAGGAGGTTGATGGTGATCCATTTTGTTATTCTGATACTCTTCCTATTGCTAAGTTCAAGCAGTGATTGAGTTTAGTCGACTGTTCCAGTTGTTAATTCCACAATGGATTTGATCCAAGGTAGAGATTGTTAGAAAATAATATATTTCGTACGTGCCTCAAATCCACTACAGTTCACGCCCCATGCAGTATTGAGGAGTTTCTTGCACGTTCGCCGCAACTGCCGCATCACTCCCATCTTCATGCGCCATTTCTTGCATTTCATGCGCTTTTCTCTCCCGTTGCTTTAGAATAAATAGTTTTGATGTTTTGCTTTGTATTCACACATCAATTCATTGAATTCTTCCTTCTTTATCTTCTTTCACGTAGACATACGTATATATTTGTTTTCCTTATTCTCTTTTTAGAGATTAACATATATATATATTTTATATTTTCCCATTCTTAGTAATTATTTTGTCATTTATATAATTTTATTCATTTACATATTTTCCCTATTATTTAACTTTTATAATTCTCAATATTCGATTATTCGCTTCCGCATTATTCTACTATATTCCTAACATAAAGCAAGTTTAGAATATATATATATATATATATATATATATTGGTGAAGGGGAGGGACCAAAAGGTCCCGAAAAGGAAAAACAACTAAGAGATCTTGCTAGTAGCAACGTTCAAGGAGTCGTGCTCGAGGATCCTTCAATTCGCACGCCATAGGGCGGTTGAGTCGGGATAGAAGTACCCTATTGGCTTACTTTGCCCAAATTAGTTAGGAAATCTGCACATTGATTACCTTCGTGAAGCACATGCTGAATTTTGCAGACTTGAAGTTGGGACATAAGGGAGATGCAATCTATGATCAACGTGTTCGCTTCCGGGCGGGTACCTGTTTCATTTTCAAGGGTTTAGACCATCGCTTCGGAATCAGTTTCGGCAATGATTTTGTTGAAACCCCGGTTAATGGCAAGGATCATCAAACCTTCTCTAAAGCCCCAGAGTTCCGCGATGAAATTATTGGTGACACCAATCTTGGTGGTGAACCCAACAAGCCACATACCACGATGGTCACGGAGGACACCAGTTGCACTCGCCATGCCAGAACCTGCTTTCTTCGCCTCGTCTTTGTTGAGCTTGGCGAAGCCCGACTAAGATATACCTCTACTAATTACCAATCAATCTTTACTTATCATCATTTACCTCATCATCATACACCTTCATTCTGTTGTAAAACCTTATTTGGACATTATTCTAGCTTTATATTGATGATATGATTCTTAATACTGCAGGAGTCCTAATTCTGTAAGAGTCCTAAAGGTTATTGTCATAGAGATGTTATATATACCATTGTAATGTTGTACATAGTTTTTTGGCTCCTGGATGATAATAAGAATTACTTTTCTCTTCTTCATTCTTCTTCTTCCTACTATTATTACTCTTTATTATTGTTCTCCACGAGCTAAAGACCTGCAGACAAACCTGCAATTCAACACGTTATCAGCACGCTCAACCCCGGTGAACGGTAAATTTTATGAGTTTTCAATTGTTTTAAATCTGTATATTTGGGTACATGTGTTATGATCGTAATTCGTGTATATGTATTCAATCATCCATATATGTTAATTCGTATGTATATATAATATTAGTGCATCGTATGTTGTAAGTAATTTGTGCATCTTATTCGTGTAATTTCTCCTTCTCGTGGGTTTTTAATTTCCTAAAATTATAATATTGTTTCGTATGGGTTTTTCTTTGTGTTTATTACTGTTCTTCCATGTACATGATTTAATATTAATTTTATGGATGTTTTTAACTATGAATATTATTCGGTTGTCCATCGTTTGTCCAATTGGTTGATATAGTAACTCTTTTATGGGGTTGTTCATTATCTGTTATAATTATGTCTTTAGAAAAGCATGTTCATTAAGAATAAATTTAGAGCCTTTTAGATCTGAATTGATTGCTTACTATGCATGATTTAGAGCCTTTTAGGTGAATTTAGTGTCTTTTAAGGTTAGATTACGCTACTCTTCCGTTGTTACTCCACTCGCTTTTCTTATAAAGATATTAAAAAGCACATAAGTACATAAATATTCATAGTTTACCCTATTCAAAGCCTTATCCGTAGGTGAATCTACACTCTTTAGATCTCTCGAACAATTTACTTCAAAAAATATCTCTCAAACAATTTTACTTCAAATATGAGAACGCATGAATTAGGGAAGTTTCTTGGGGTGGAATACTAGTTCTATGGCCCTGGTTGCTACTAGTCCCCTTGCGACACTACTCTGTCTAAGGAATTGGTATTTAACCAAGCTTCGTCTTGATCAACTTTCCTGGGAGTATACCTAAGGATTGTCTATCATTTTTTGATTTAATCTGTTTGTTAATTAGGATTGACATATTCTCTACATGAGCCTATTTCTTGACTAAGTTGATCCACAAATCAATTGGGCATATTATTTTTCTTCTCTCTCAACTTGTGTGTGGGCCAATTTTGGAATAACAAAATATTCCTAATATTTTTGTAGATTATGGCTGCACTAACCAAGCGTGAATTTACGGAACTGGCCTTAGACGGGAGTAACTATTTAACTTGGGCTCTTGATGTTGAGATCTATCTCGCATCAACTGAGCTACAAGATACTATTATTGCTGATTCCACAAGTAATGCGGCCCAGAAGGCCAAAGCACTCATCTTCCTCCGTCACCATCTTAATCATGATCTTAAGAATGAATATCATATCGAAAAGGACCCCTACATTTTATGAAAATCCCTCAAGGACCGTTTTGATCAACAAATATCACTTGTCCTCCCTCAGGCACAATATGACTGGCTGAATTTGAGGTTCCAAGACTATAAGTCTGTCTCTGAATAAAATTCAGCATTACATAAAATTGTGTCACAACTCACAACTCAAGCTCTGTAAATAAGAAGTTTCTGACAAAGACTTGATCGAAAAGACTTTATCCACATTTCATGCTAGTAACCTTGTACTCCAGTAGCAGTTCAGGGCCAAAAACTATACCCAACATGTTGAGCTGATCTCCGCCCTCCTAGTAGCTGAGTAGCATAACCTGTTGTTAATGCGAAACCATAATGCACGCCCTGTTGGCTCTGCATCAGTGCTTGAAGCACACCATGTTGCCAAGTTGAGCAACACTATGGGGAACCAAGATAGAGGACGAGGAAGAGGTCGTGGAAGGGGTCCAAGTCGTGGAAGAAGACATGGAAGCAACAAGAATCATAACTCCCGCAACAAGCAAAGGCAGCCGAAAAATCAAGAACAACCAAGCTCATCCAACAATCATTTCGTGCAGCAGCAAGCCTGCTATAGATGTGGGTGCACAGGACACTGGTCCCGTACATGTCGCACCCCAAAGCACTTGGTTGAGGCATATCAGCAAATAATTAAGAGGGACAAAATGCGGCCTAAAGATGAGTCCCACCATGTTGCGTTACCAGAAACAAACACACTTGTTAATGCTGATGATGATGACCTCATGAAGTATGAGCTTGAAGATTATGGAGATCAAGAATGATCTTTCTTTTCTTTCTATCCTCGTTTTTATGTAATAATTGTGAATTGGCCACGACAGTTTCTTTCATACTTTTAAGTGCATGTGTGCATTTTGAACAAATATTCTATGCTCTTTAAATAAATCTTCTTATGAATATAATATACATCCCTCATTTTCTTGATTACTCGTTTCTCTATAGAGATATGGGGGATGTTTCTGCTTTATGCTTGGTAGATAGTGTAACCACGCACACTGTCTTGACAGACAGAAAATTCTTATTGTGGGCTCTGGAAGAGTTTCACTTATTCTTCTTAACGGAACAAAGTTAATAATCGAAACTGACATCCGATATCCTCAATAAAAAAGAACCTTACGTAGTTTCATGGATATTCGGTCCAACGGGTTTCACATAGAAACTAAATCAAAAACAATACCGAATTCCTTATCTTGACCAAAATGGTAAATAACTAGAAAAGGGAAATTGAATAACTTCCTTCCTTTTCTTCAGGCCTGTATTATTCTTATATCAGGCCCCAAATTTCCTGCGTTGAACTTGCGGGGAAATTTAAAGATACACATTCTTTCCATTTATGGCATGACCGCTTAGGTCACCCTGGGCAAACTATGATAAACCGAATACTTTCTGATGGTTTTATTGGGACCGGGTCCACCATAAACCGGGTACAGAGTTACAAAATGGGGGTAGAGCGCTAAGCCCAGAACAATGTGTACAAAAGCCCGAGGTACAGGCCCGGAATAGCGGCCCAAATATAAAGAGCAAGGCCCACAAGATGGGCTATAGCTAACTATGCTACTGGTAAGAATCGAACCCAGGTGACTGAATTGAGAGTATGAGATCAAGACCACTAGACCGTAGTACATGTCGTGTCTGAGTTGGCCTTAGCCAAAGATCCAAGACCCCTATTTATAGCAAGCCCCCCTCCTCCTTTAGCGTCCGCGTGTCCCACGTTGTTACTCTCCCACTCCGGTTGTTTGTCGCCATGCACGTCACATCGCCGCAATCCCGCGACTCCCGCATCCACACCGCACACGCTGACTAACATCCTCCACCATGCACGCCGCACCTACCTCCCCCCTCATGCCGTACCTACCTCTCCCCTCACGCCGTACCTACCTCCCCCCTCACGCCGTACCTACCTCCCCCCTCCCCTTACGTCGTACCTACCTCCCGCACCTACCTCCACCCCCCTCGCGCCATACCTACCTCCCCCCTTCCGGTCCATGCTCTTCACCCCGGCTCACCATGCGTGCTTTTCTTCCTAGCCCAACAAGACTTGGGCCAACCTCCTTCTTTCACCACCCCCACTTGGGTCAATACTTTCTCAATAAAATGGACCCCCTAGGGTCCCATATCCCCATCACATTCAAACTCGACTGGACACAACCTTCTTAGGACAAACATTCTTTCTACAAAAAGATTTCACATGTGTTCCTGTGCAAAGGCAAACTTATTCTAAGATCCTCACGTCCTAAGATTGGTTTGAGTAACCTATTTTCATGCAGAGGTTACAAGGTGATATTTGTGGACAAATTCATCCTTCATCCAGACTATTATGATATTCCATGGTCCTTATTGATGCTTCCACCCGATAAACACATGTGTGCTTACTGTCCACATGAAATATGGCATTCGCAAAATTCATAAGTCAAATCATTGGATTGAATGCTCAATTTCCCGATTATCCTATTAAGAACGTAAGAATGGATAATGTTGGTGAATTCACCTCGTCAGCTTTTGACGATTATTGTATGGCCATGGGGATTAAGGTGGAACATCTTGTACCATATGTCCATACCCAAAGTGGTCTAGCTGAATCCCTCATCAAAAGAATTAGTCTAATAGCTAAACCATTACTGCAAAGGTCAAGTCTACCAGTCACTTGTTGGGGACACGCAGTATTGCATGCTGCTGATTTGATACAACTCCGGCCAACTGCATGTCATGATTATTCCCCCATACACATAGTACGTGGTAGAATTAAATATTTTCGGATCTGCGTTTCTAGTCTTAGTATGTGGTCCATTTTATTGTATCACCACTTCACGCGTATCTCTATGGGCTATAAACCTCTGTATGTTTTTTAAATAGATACGGTGACTACATACATGCATCATGAAGATCATTTCACGGCATTAGGGGGAGATGAGCCCAAATTTAATGAAATGCCGAGAAGTTCCATGCAATGGAAAGATCTTCATTTGTTAAGAAATCCATGTACTAGTTAGACTGAACTGGAAGTTCAGAAAATAATCTATTTATGATATTAGCAAATAATCTGCCAATCATATTTATTGATCATCCTGATCATAAAAGAGTGACTAGGTCCATATACCTTCCCCAACTTGGACTAAATATATCTACCGATACTCCTCTACACTAGAAGTGTAGGAGATCTATCGGTAAAAAGAGATAAGAATCATAATACTAGATCTAGTAAATAAACATTGTCACTCTTGGAAAAGCTTAAATAATTTAGTCCTGGAGAAGCTCGTCTAAATGACGAAAAGCCCTAGTCAATTCATAGGTGCACCAAACAAACATAATACTAGGGATGCGGGACAACCAGATGTGATCTGAATAGTTCTGGGAAATGTCTAGAATTTGGTTGACTTAAATATTGCCATGAACAATTATAAATATGGGAGAAATTCTTGAAAAATGTTATAAATTGTCGACAACACAATTGCCTTCAAATTGCTCATACTATATGACAATCTGGATCCAGAACTAGGTGCCGGAAGCTCCTAGGTTGATTAACGTATAAAGAGAGCAATTAAAGGCATATACAGCTCAACTCGCTAATATATTCCTTTCGTACACCATTGAGGTATTAACCATGTAGGTTACAAATGGTGTGGAAGGAAAACAAGAATAACGAGGTGATAAGATATGAAGCGAGTTTGTAGCCTATGGGTTCACGCAGAGACCCTTAATTGATTTTAATCAAATATACTCTCTCACGATAAATGGCATTAAGTTCCGCTACATAATATTATTGGCAGAATAATAAATTTAGATATGCAGTTAAATTTATCTTGAGATATCTCTTATGGATTTATCATTCACGAAATGAGAATTATGTGCCATTATTTACACTTTAAAGAGTTGCGAATGGAGTTATTATCCTTAATAAGAAGGAATAATATGTACCATTGTGTTCTCGATAAAGGGTTGATAATGAACTTCTTTATTATTTATTATCTCAGTCAATATTGATGTGGAAACGTCAATGAAATATATAAAGAGTTTGATGATATCAGCCCATATCTAAAAATGGAGTTTTTGAAATAAAAAGCTTGTGAAAGCTAAGTATATCTCGACTTGAAGATCGAGTTTTTCCTTTGAATGAATTTAATACACCAGTTAGCCTATTTTTCACCTGTCTATATGGTTAATTATCATGGTTTTGTCAAACTATAGGTTGCCTAATAATCTCTTGAAGTAGATAAGGAACTGTTTAGACTCGGTAAGGATACCTTAACAGTCTTTTACTTCATTTGTCGTTGGGGCACCTTTTTAGAACCAGAAGTTCCATAATCGCAACATGCATGATATTCGCGATGAAATTGCTAGCAACATCTAGGGCTTCTTCTACAATGAACTATTGAAATAATGTGTAATATATTCTCCGAGTTACAAAAGAGTTTGGTATTCATATGAGAAACAAATGTATGGTTTTGATAGGCTGTTTGGGTATTGACTATTATATATGTTTAATACCCGTGATGCCAAAACTCCAAATTGGTTAAACAATGACTTACCCCCAATATCTCAAATGAGGACAATAAGTCAATAACACTTGAATTGCACAAATGATATATGAGTATGTTAAAGAATATTTGACAAAGCATATATAGCGTCAAAATTCAACTACTACGAGCTCTAGAAGAGTCACAAAATTATTGTGCAAGATATTCACTCTAGTGACAATCTAGAAGATTTGACTAATTCATTTCTACAATTTTGGATATATATTTTATGTGTGGATTTGAAGATTGTCTTCTTGAGGGGGAGTATCATTTTACAATCCTGAAGATTGGGTCTTGACGACAAACAGCTGTACTCTTTTCCTTAGTTAAGTTTTTCCCCACGGGGTTTTTTTTCCCTTAAATCTAAGGTTTTTAACGAGGCAATTAATCTAAAACAAGAATACATATACATCATGCACTCTTTTCCTCAACTAATTTTTCCACGGGGTTTTTATAGTTAGGTTTTTAACGAGGCATGAGTAAGATATAGTCATGTAAATGGGGAGAAGTAAACAAACCCCAAAATCCTGAAGATTATGCCGATTATGCACTAAAGGCTTATGGTTGTACTCTTTCCCTTAACTAAGTTTTTCTCACATGGTTTTCTTAAGTTAAGGTTTTTAATGAGGCGACCAATGCAATATATGTTTTTACATATATCATGTACTCTTTTCTTCAACTAGGTTTTTCCCACGCGGTTTTCCTAGTGAAGTTTTTAATGAGGCATGTACATATTTTATATTGTACTCTTTTCTTGTCTAGGTTTTTCCCACAGGGTTTTCCTAGCAAATTTTTAACGAGATGCATGATTATGGAAAAATAATGTCCAAGGGGGAGTGTTGTAAGACCTTATGTGGACATTATTCTGGCTTTATATTGATGATAGGATTCTTAATATTGTAGGAGCCCTAATTCTGTATGAGTCCTGAAGGCTATTATGATAGAGATGTTATATGTACCATTGTAATGTTGTACATAGTTTTTTTGGGTCCTAGATGATAATAAGAATTATTTTTCTCTGTTCTTTATTCTTCTTCTTCCTACTATTATTACTCTTTACTAGTATTTTCACCCGTGCGATGCACGGAATGAAATTGTTGTAATATATTACGAATATTTAAATCGATATATAATTATTTAAGAGTTACTTTCACCAGAGGTCACGCTTATCTTTCCTGACAATTTCAAATTTAATCTTAGACTATAGTTATTAATTATTACGATTTATTCTATGTTATAATACTTACGTT